AGTGTTTCTGTGATTCTGTGATTCTGTAAATTATATAATTACAATGGACTTTCCACTTTTTTCTCTTTAAAGTGGCATCTTAGCTCCTAATGTATGTCATAGGAAGCTGCATATTTGGAATTGTGACACTCCCTAGGAAATTATTTTACTAATGACCAGATAGACTAAACTCAAATATATGTTATTCAAGAGGTTGTGTATTTATTTACCTTTTTGTTTTTAGTGATCAGTTTTATATAGATTAGTCTGATAGAGAGTACTCTCTATTTATTATCTTTAAGGACAAAATAAATGTTGGAAATAATACTTCAAAAGAAACCTGGCAAATGTTCAGCAGTTTTAGCTGTTAACGGAGAGCCTCTAGAAAGTCAAGCTACTTTGAGCTGTTGAAACTTTAAGTGGTGTTTTCAAGTATTTCTGGAAGTTTCTTGCACGGCATGGGTTTGGGCTGTTAGTGCTGTTTGGAAATGTTCTCATACACCCCTTTTACCCCCAAATTGGAACTTTAGTGCAACTAGGTAACAAAGTATAGAAGTAAAAAAGTTGGCATCCTGTTAGAGCAACTAGGAGGAAATGTTCTTGGAACACTTCTTGTGTCAAGATGCTGAGTGATGTAGTAACAGAGAAATGTTCTTGGCATCAGAAGATTTTTATAGGGACAATACTTGGGCAGCGTGTAGTATATAGCCCTTTGGAAAAGCATAAGATACTGCCCAAGAGATTACCTTGAATATTCATGCCAACTGCACAGATATTTGGAAATCTAACTGTCCAAAATGTGACACATCACCCTTACATCATGTATGGGTTACAGGCAAGCTGAAAAATGTGTTTATCACAGGGTAAGTGTAAAAAATCAGCCTGTGGCAATACAGAATACTCCGATAGCACATACGGAGGTGACAGCTGCTTTGATCAGGGTACCACCCTTTACCAAATGTGTGTAAAGAGGCAAATAGAATTTTTTAAGTCTACTTTTCAGTTTGTTCATAATGCTGTAGATCAAGACATTGATAATTAAGCATAGAATTAACAATTGGGATAAACTGCCAAATAGTAAGTATTACAACCTGTGTCAAATATCTAAAAATAACAAAATATATGCTTGTGTGTGTTAGCACACTGGGACACAGATGCATAGTATTCAAGGAGGGATTCTCAGCTAGATAGAAACCTGGAAAGTAGCAGTGTTAGGTTATTGCTTGATTCTTACCATACTGCTATATCATATTACTATGTATGTACCTGTATTACTGTATTTGTCAAATTAATGTTATCTTTACTGATCTACGCAAGTAATTGCTTAAAAAAATTCAAATAACTCTCCCAGTACCAATAGTTAGTTTTGTTTCTTTGTTACTCAGTTTCTCTGCATAAAACAACATTTTCTGTATCCATTAGTAAATTACTTTGCTGGGCAGGGCACTAACTTGAAAAATAGTGTTGCTGACTAGAGGAAAAAGAAATTATTTTAGCACTATCATGTAATTTTTTCTAACCTGTCACATTAAAACATGTCTGCAAAATGACAATTTGTTAAATGATCTGCTATATCCTACATGCTGGGTGGACTGCATTTATGTTTTGGTTCAAAAATTGCCATCTGTTATTATAAGCTTGTTATATATTCTTTGTTTTTAAAATACTAATAGGGCAAGCAGTATGTAATTCTTGAGCTAGCCAGCAGGAAATGTAAGGTATCTTCAATATTGGGTTTTTCATTAAGTATGCTTCTTGTATGAGTTTATGAGAAGAGCCATGCCCTGGTGCCAGAAAACAAACTAACGAAAAGCTATAGGCCCTGTAAACTAGACCTGTAGGGAAAAATTTCTTTCTGAGTCCAAATTTTATGATCAATTTGACCCAGCTAACATACAGATGGAAGTCCTGAGGTTTTTTAAAATATTTTAAATTTTTATTTTCCCCAAGTCAAATGCACAACAACAGAGAACAGGAAGGAAGAGAAGGAGTTATTTTTCTCCCTGGATGTACCAGGATCCCAGCATCCTCCTTTTCTGTCAGTCTGTCCCCCTAGAAACATTTCAAACATACATCTTAAAACTATTTGGCTTTCTTACCCAAAGATAAAAAGGGAGGAGAGCAGGAAATGCTATGTCACTGATGTGAAACATATTATTCGTAGAGTATTTGGATGAAATCCAATCTTGGGCATATAATTTTTACACTATGCTTTTCTGTTGCTTGAAAAATATCCGTATGTGCTAATGCATAAAATCTTCAGTGGCTCTATATATCATTTGCTAGAGACTACTTTAGGGGATTATTATTTTTAGACTAAATGAAGCTGAAACTTGTAGAGGAACCAGAAAGTTGTATACTCTGAATTTGGTACCAGAAGGCCAAGAATGATTCAAGACATTTCATTTTGGTATGGGTTAACATCCACATTTGGAGAAGTCTTGAGTCATTTGTGATGTCTTAATCATCATATTTAGCTTTGTTTTTAAACATGCCAGTCTCTAAAATATTACTAAGTTGTTCTTAGTCAATATTCAAGGATAAATAATAAACTTGTAAAGCTGGTTTTGAGTTTGTCAAACTCAGCGCTGTCTTTGTAGCACTTATGCTGAGGAAACTGATCTTCTGTATTTTATTTTTAAGGGAAATATATGCAGATGATGAATATTCTGAAACCAATTGCATTTGATGTGATCCACTTCATGTCCCAGCTCTTTGATTACTATCTGTATGCAGTCTATACATTTTTTGGCCGACATGACGCGGTAGGTAGAAACATTATTCATTTCCAAGTATCACTGTACACACAGAATGAGAATACTACTTAATATGTAATTCCCAGAAAAATTAGTGGCAACAGAATGGATTTCAGTGCAGGAGTAAGAAAAAGCTGATTAAATCAGCAGTAAGGGGAATAAGCACTGGGAACATAATTTTCACTGCGACATGAATGCTATTATGTTTTGAACAGATACTGTACTCTTTTTTTTTTTTTTTTTTCCCAGCAGTATTTTGAAAGGGAGAATAGACAACACGAAATACTTAAAAGTAGTGGTAGAAAGTGGGGAACAAAGGACCAGTCTGCAGAAGGAAGGTGGTTGGTTGAAGCCTATAGAGTATGCATTGATTTAATATTTTTATATGTGCTTCTCTAACTGAGATAAGAATAGCAAAAGGAAGAAGAGAAGGGGGGCATAAAAGTTAAGTAGTAATTCAGGTTTAAGAGGATTGAAATACACTTTTTCAGATCTAGTATTCTTCTGTCTAATTGCATTTATGAAAACAGTTTTTTTTCAGTGATCTTGTAGTTGAAATAAATACTGGTTGGCAATGTCTGTACATAACATAGATCAACTTTCAAAGAATTGTCTTAAAGCAATTATGTAAAGCTGCGTGTAAAAACAATTTTCTCCTCTCTTGGCCCCTAAATTACTCCACAAGTAATAATATTGTGGGGTTCCAAATTCATCATCATCTGTTGGCAAATTGTAATGGATTTTCAGATTCAACATACGATTCTAAATGGTTTTGAACTGTTCTCTTTGGCAGGACAAATGTATTTGCAATTTGTTTGTGTTTAGAAGATGGGTGTTTCTGTTTGAGTGGTTTTTGTTTTTGTTAAGATAATTGATTTCCATTGGCTTAGTGAGCTGCCCTGGTATTCACATTGTGTTGCATTTATTTTTATTTTTTTGTACCTCCCATTTTGTGTTTTTAAAGCCCATACCGAGTTCCTCACTCTCTACTTCTAACAGAGAACAGCACAGTGCTAGGCAGGTAAACATTATAGCAGACGGGTGGTAAAATTGTGATGTTTTTGTAGTGTGCCTAATTTTTGTTTTAACAGATGATTTTCCATGGGAAACATAATGCTTACAAAGGGTCTATGAATGTAATAAACCCTCTTGTAATGCTGCTTAAATGTCCTCACTCTCCATAGTGTTTACAAACCTTTAGAAAGTCGAGATGGGTGATGGTATGTGATTTAGACCACTGAGAGTTTTCCTGGTTTATTATTATTTACAAAATAGCATCAAATGGGATTCTTAAAAGTAGATTGGTAATATAACTTTCTCAAATGGTTGACATTCTTTGTGAATATTGTGCTTATGTTGTATGTGTGAGTTAGTACACACATAAGGAGAGTGATTAATTGTACAGAGTTCATTGCCAGTTCAGTGGAAACCAAGGATTTAAAATATACATGTTGGCTTCTATGTCCAGTCATGATGCGAAGTCATTGCTCTTTCCAGAACTCTTTACAATGATCATCCTATGTAGTCAATATTTGGCTTTTGTCACTGCCAAAAGTTGCACAGCATTGTAACCGGAATTGCTCTTTCAAAAGCTTTTTAATTTCTGGGATGCAAGTTAAGGCTGCCTTTCCCCCTGATCTCAAATTATGGAGCAACCTAATATGATATTAAAAGAAAATGCCTATATTTAATGTCTACTCACTAATGTGTAAGACTTTCATGAACATGCCATAGAATAGTCTTCCTTAGCAGAATAAATTTGAGGTGAGTTTAAATTTTTTTATAAGACATAATCATTTGTAAACCAATGGCCATTCTTACGGAAAACATTTTGTTTGTTTGTTTTTGTTAACTATAAGTGGTTATGTAGAATTGGTGATGAGTAAAATTATTTTATTTTATATTTATTTTATACAATTGTAGATTGTCTAATGCTCTGCTTACTAACCTTACTAGGTCATCAATTTGTGGAATTTAAATATCTACCATTCTGCAATTAGAAATAACAGAAACTTCCATGAAGAAAAGCAGTTATACTGATGAGTGATGTGTTCTATGTGAAGTCATGAGGTTCTGTCCTTGTGAGAATTCAGCTCAGATTTAAATTTTCATTGAATATTTAGGAGGATTGGGGCAGATGGACAACTTAAGTCAGAAATGTTAGATGCAGTACATGCAGACTTAAATTACACCATATTGTATTTCAGTGCACTGACAGGAAGTCTAATAATTCAGTGTACAACGGTTCTCTAAATATTGTTCAGTAAATTGCTTTTTGGTGTGAATCACATACCAGAACTGTATTCAAATACTTCCAGATCCTTAACATAGATGTGTGTTTCTTAGCTGTCCCATTTCCACTTCCTTTGTTGTGTTAGCTTTTTTTGTGTTCTTTTAATTAAAAGTAGAAGATAAGTAGCTACAATAATTATGTGTGTTGACTCACTCACTCAGCTGGTATAATGCATTGCATTTACCAGGAAATCAGTGTAGCTATATTGATTTATTGTTCGGTTCCCAGCTGAACATCTGCCCCATAATAATACTTCTGAGCCATGAACATGAAGATGGCACATTTCTCAGATCTTCATAAGCATTAAGTAATAATGACTGTATTATAAAGATCAATGGATATAATTTTACATAGGCAAGTTAGATATTTAATAAGGAATTACAAGAAATTTTATAGCTTGAGAGAGAAGTCAAGAGCACTTGGCTTGGGTGTGGTGTGCATGTAAGTCTCAGTGGGGGCGTGGTGGCGCACCATTCTGGGCTGGTCTCCCAAAAGGGGGAATCTAGAGTCCCACGCCCATATACAGTGTTATAACAGTAAAGGATACTGGTTGTTTCTTGGTACGAATGGTAAGCTGTCATCTTCATGAAAGGTACTCAGGTCATTCTTCACACCAGTGCTGTGTTCGTTTATTTTCTTTTCTTTTTGTATGGTTGTGATTATGTACTAAAACTTGAATGTAGGTAAATTGTAGCTAGTGTTTACAAATTGAAGTTTTGCTGTATTGCTGTAAAGTTTAAACCAATGGGGTTTCCTTTCCCAACTTAAATAGAATGTATTTCTTCCAGTTTGAATCAACAGGACTGGGCCTCAGTAGCAGCAGATTACGCACCACACTGAACAGAATCCAGGAGAGTCTAATTGATCTGGTAAGTACCTGGATTTTGTTAATGCTCAGTGGAATAGAGGTCTGTGTAGGAAATTTAGGAATTGCAGTTCATTGTGGCTTTCTGATTTTTATCTTTCTTCATATTCAGTGTCTATAATGACAAAGTCTTAGTTTCATGGCATATCATGATGTATATTTCATTATTGTATGAAATCACTTGTTTCTGATATACAGCAAAAGAAGTTTAATAGGTTTTGCTAGATGCTACAACAAAATATTGTATTTAAATCTTGTAATAGAATTCATGTAATAGACACAGACATTCTGGTATTATCCTTATTAAATGAGATGTTTTATGAAAAAAACCCAACAAAACAACACAACAGATGGCTCATTTTTCTTCAGTAAAAGAATAGCAAAACAGTAAGCCATCCTGAAGATCATTTACCTTACAAGATTAATAGAAGTAGTATACAAGTCCTTGGTTAAGTTATTTCTGAATTGTGGGGAACTTTCACTGATGTATTTTATGGATTATATTCCATCAGCCACTTCATGAGTTATTTTCAAAATGTGAAAAGTATGGTGCTCGTGTCACATTGGTAGTAGATTACTGTCCTTCACATCACATTACAAAGGGTAAACAGGAAATTTCAGGTAGGTTTTGTGGGTTCAAGCGAGCAGCAGAGTTTATAAAGAAATATTGCTGAGCGCTATACAAAAATGGAAATTTGAAGTTCTCTTTTTCTACCTAAATATAAAACCCTTGAAACATTATGGAGAAATTTTCTAAGAGTGTCATAAATGGCTTGTATAGTAATTAATACTGTGGATGCTGCAGAAAGGATTTATTTTCTAAAGCTTCTGCCTTAGAAGGAAGTAGAAGACAGATGCTCTACCCTGCCTTTCAGAAGGATTTGGTATTCCACAGAATTGTACTTTATGCCTTTTTAATTCCTTGAATTTAATTCAGTATTCAAGAATTCCTAGACTGTTCTTTCAGAGAAGCTTCTTAAAGGGTTTTGGAGCCATTTCTTACAGAGTCAGTAGAGGGAGCATAAGATAACTAATAACCCCAGGCCTCTATAAAACAGAAAAAGGCTAGTTATATTGATATTCATCTCTAAGGCAGTGTATTCAGAAAGAAAAATGAATTTTAGGAAGGTCTTGCAAATGAATCAGTTAAAGATTGTGGAAAAATGGCAAGTTATGGAACGAATTTTTTAAAATTCCTCTGTAGTCATAGTTCCCAACAGTGCTTTACAGCCTTGAATTTTTTATCAGTCAAAATAATTAAAAAAAAAAAAAAAATTATAGGAGTACATTGGAAAAATAACAGCACTTCTTTTTCTTCTTCAGTCATTTAACAATGCTGTTACAGGTAATGTTAGTGTCAATTGAAATTAGTAGCTATGTTTCCAGTAAGATGTGAAAGGAGGAAGAGATCTTAGCTAACTGCTATTAACTGAAAGGCATTCCATGAAGTTAATTAATATTTTATGAACTTTTGTTGGTCTTATGCTGTAAATAGGAATTTTTCACTTCTTGATTCACGAGGAAGAAAAAGTCTTCTGGATATTTTTATTGTTTGCTTATTTTTAAGACTTTATGAAAGTCAAGATTAATCTTTACTGTGTCATAAAATGGGTATTTCACATGATTGTGTGATCTGTTCTGAGCTTTTCTCAAAATTCTCCTCTCTTATCTTAGAGGATTGTAAATTGCTTTCTGAAAATATTCATGTTTGTGTTGTGGGGTTCAGTGTCATGGCCTGTTGGGAATTTTGTGTTTCTGCTTTGTCTTCGATTCATGGTAACTTTATTAAGGGCTGTAATTTCTGTCTCATTTCAATTGCTGATGGCAGCATCTTTCAGTATTTTATTTTCATAGTCTGAATCTGATAGCTCCGAATCTGTGACTAAGGCTCTGCCAGAACTGCATGTAGATCAGAATAATTCCTCTTACCAGTCAGTGCCTATGGAGGTTGAGCTCTATGATCTATGTCAAGACTTTAGTAATTTTGATTGGATCATTCTTAGCTTTCCGCTTGGGAGTTTGTTCATTCCTTTTTTGAGATACTGAGTGGATGAAGGCCTAGTTACTCTATATTTATTGTCAGGACTTAGAGGAATAATTGGAGGGTTTAGAGGCTATCTCCCCCTGCTTTTTGTAGACTTTCTGTAGTCTCTGTTTGGGATTGAATTAATACTATCTAGTTTATATCAGATACCTTTTTAGGATAGTACTGTTATTATTGTTCAGCTGCATTTTAAGCTTCCTTTGTGAAGGAAGAAGCAAAGTGGAAGGGGGGTTCCACTTCTGGCAAGGCAAAGCTGAGCTGGCCTTAATGTTCTTTCTTGAATCTTTGTAGCATCTTCAGTATGAAGAGTATGGAGGTCAATTGGAAGCATTCCCTGTCACTCTATTCTAAGTTTATACTTCCCTACAGTGCAAGAAGTGTCTGGCCTTTTTATATATACTGTACTTAGTATACTTAGAGTATACTAACCGTACTTGAGAAATAAGTACTACCCTGCTTTTCATCTGGACCACCAAGAGACAAGAGTTGGGTTTCTGACTCGTAGCCACTGAGCAAAAGGGCTGCAGCAATTAAAGTGCTTCCTCTCCTCTGCATCCCTCCTCATGCATCAGATACAATCTTCTTCTGCTGGAGGGTCCTTGTCCCCTCTCAGCTGTACTCAGCTATAGCTGAATCACTTCTGCACTGTTGCATGATCTAATATTTCATAGCAAAGCCAACTGTACTTTAGAAACTGCAGCGAGTCCACCTGTAGTTTAGATTAATGTTTTAGACTGTGAACAGGAAATAGCTGAGATACGAACATGTGTTCAGTTATCTTATCTTCACCACACGGCAATAATGTGACACCTCAGCTGTGATACGTGTGTTTCACTGCCTGTATGCTGCTCCTACACTGATTTAATAATAAACGTTATAGCAAACAAAAAACCCCAAACAATAACCACCAAAAAACTTCACAACTTCAGTTGGAACTAGAAGTGCCCCTTCTCCTCATATTTATGATACAAAAACATGTTTGTAATTTTAATGTTTTGTATGATGTAATCAAAATGACAATTGTGAAGGGTCTTAACTCTTTACAAGACTGAGCAAGCATGTTCTTTAGACACTACTACTTTAAATATGCTTCCTATTTCAGATTGTTATAAATATACCAGTAACGACGTTTTGTCCAGTTATGGCTTTTGTTAATCTCTGCACTGCTGTTGATACAGATTTAAGTATGATCTGAAATTTCTTTTGATATATAAATGAAATTGGTTTAGTTAAAAGTAAATATAAAGGGGCCTACTGATTAGTGAAACTGTCTTTATTTGCTTTCTTATAATAAAGTTGTGTGGAAGTGTGCTGGGAGCTTACAGTGATTGAGTAACCAGTTTTCTGTCTAAGGTTCTTGTCTTTGTCTTAAGAAAATACTTGTAGGCTAACGCAGAAGTATAAAAAACACAAGCACTTTGAGTATTTGCTTTTAAAGTAAATTAGGGTGCAGTTTCATTTCTGAGAGGTAAGAGAACAATATGACTTCCAGAAATTTGGCTACATTGTACTGAACTTCATATGTGTACCTGAACTTCATATTCAAGCCTTTCCACACAGCTAGTACAAAATAGCTTCAGTACAGATTTCTGCTGTGCAGCAGCTTCAGAGATAATAATTTGCATCCTCCAGAAATAGCTCTCTACAAGCTGTGTTTCATTCATACCAGCAGGATGTATTAAAAGGGAAAAACAGAAAGAGTGAAAAGGGGAGGAAGAAGTGCTGTTGTTTCAGCCTCACTGTAATGTTAAGCTGCAGTTTTGATTAGGCTAAATACATGGAAATAAGTTTCTGAGCTGCCTGCATCTCCTCACTGACAGTTTCCCTGAGCGGGGTATGTAGAGATACCTACACATATTTGTTCCTTGTGTTTGTCATTTCTAACAGGAATGTGTTTTTGCAACAGTATTGATGGTCATATTAGTGGAAAGAAACTGTCACAGCACAGTTACGCGTTACGTAGTGTGGACATGCACCCTGTTACGTCCTGGTTCTGCATACCAGTGGCAAGCTCTGGAGCGTCCAGGCTGTGGAAGTTGTTACTTGACATGGCAGTGCCTAGCACAGGATGCTGCTCCTAAAAGGCACAGCTAAGCTCCTCACTGAAATGGTAGCTGTGAGCTATGATTCTTGGTGAGGTTTTGTTTGTCTGAAGGTAATTTCTGCAACCTTTACAATCGTTGCTTCGTCTCCTGCTCCTTCAAAGAAAAAAAAAAAAAGGCTGAATAAAAAAAAAAAGACAATTTGTTGGTTTTTTTCTTCCTCTCTTGGCAAGATTTGTACAACATACATAATGACAGTGTTTAAGGTGTGTGAATTGCTTGTCAAGGGAAGAGAACTCTGTGTATGCCAAAGAAAGTTCTGACGTGACAAGCACTTTGAAGTATGGTAGAACTTCTGCAGCTGTTTTGCTTCCTCACATTATTCATTTAGAACCTTCATACTTTTTTTGTTTGTTTGACTGTATTACCCAAGTAGACTGGAATGATATACTGAAATTTTCTAGCTTATTCCTTTGAATACATTTTCTGGGGTTTGACAATCGTTTTGTCTCCTTTGGGCAGTCACTGAGCCATCTCATTTTAGTCATTTCAGACTCTTTTTGCTGGGCACCCAAAACTTGGGCTGATTCCTTGTCCCAGAGGAGTGCAGGTGTCTGCAGAGTCACAGCTGAGCACCTGGGAACTGGCAGCAGCTCCTTCTGATAAGAACCTCCTTCGGATAAGAAAAATGCTGCAGTAAAAATGTATGTGACTGGACCGAATTGGCTGCCTTGTTTTTCTAAGATAGTGGTTCAGCTTCCCAAGGGTGTGGCAGTGGGCATGCTTTACTGTGGGGGCTCATTTGATATTTATTTCTTAAAGCATAGTTAATGACTCATTTTCTCAGTTGTCTATCAGAACACAATGATTCCTGATAGAGGCCTTGTTGCATTAGGTTAGACAAGATAGTAAATAAACCTGCTAACTGTTGGTAATTTTTTATGCAAAAAGTCCGCCATTTAGTTTTGAACACGAAGAAGTAAATGAAACACAAAAATCCCAGAAGTTTCTACTCAAGTTTTATTAAGGTCTGCTACCAAAGTCAGTGGGATTGACCCAACTGAGGTTTGGGACATGCTTGTTTTGTGGCAAAGAGCATGGAGGATCCACGCTTTTGAAATGGGAAACCTCATGCCCACCAACAAGCTGATCAACTCAGCGCTGGGGCCGATGCGTAGTGCGTGCAGTGTAAGTGTTGGCAAGCTTGGGGACAGCTTGCATGGGACTTCATAATCCTGTAAAAGTATCGATGGCAGAGGATTGTAAATAAATAGAAAATGAATAGCAGTGTTTCTAAAGAGGGTTTGCTGTTTGGTTTTTAATGATCTGCTCTCTTGAAGTCTGTTGAGTGGTGATCATGATAGTAGGTTACATTGTTTACATCTGATTTAGTATCCTAAGGGCTGGGTCAAGATTACCCACTTTGTAAGCTTTGTGCCCATCAGCACAAAAATACTAATCTTTCAATTTAAGACATAGTAGGAATCTTGAAAAGTACCATTTTTTAAACCTTAGCACATTTACAACATATTCAAAAAGCACTGTTACCCTTGAATGCAATGTGCTTTTACAGTTGGCTTTACTGGTCATTTTCAGCATCAAGTCTTAAAACTATTGGGATGTAGAAGTTTGAGGAGGAGGGGAAAAAACCTGACTTGTTCCTTTCGGTACATTTCTTCTAATAAAAAAATCTTGTATAATAGGCAATTACTTGAAGTTAGCTGAGCTATTTTCAGACAGTCTTGGAATACAAAAAGGGGTTATGCTTTCTTTGATCAGTGTTCATTTTCTTGTACTCTATGCTCATGGTATTACAGAAACTATCAATTACAGTTTCATAAACAGAGATGATGGAGCTAGCCTGTCATCTGGAGACAGTCTGCTTTTCTTTCTTCATCAGTGCACATCAAGTTCTTGGTAACAATGTCAATACATCAGAGCTGCTAGCTGCTGTAGACTGTTTGACTGCTAGAATCTTTTCAGATAGTCTGATTTTTTCCATGCCTTTCAAACTCCTCCTCCTCTTAAGATTGGCATAATTTTGCTCACTTTCAGTTTTATGGGACTTTACCTGTTCTCCATGGGTACTCAAAGGGAATCTCTGATGACAGAGACAGTCTTGAAGATTTTCTTAAATTATTGGAAGGGTTAACTTTAACAAGTCCAGTCCATTGCAAAACATCTGATTTCTTTAAATAGTCTGCAGCCTTTTTTCCTCTTCCAGCCTGAATGTTTTGCCCCTTTATTGCTGCTTTCAGTCATCTGATCACTTCTGTTAATGAAGGCTGGTGGAAAAAACACATGCATCACTGAAGCCGTTTCAGAATGATCTTGTGCTTTTCTTGGGGATTGGCACACCAGCTGTTTCCTTGGGCTTCCTTTTTACTGTCCACATGCTTTTGCAATATCTGCTTTTTAGAACAAGTCATGAGAATTAAATACTCAGACTGTGTTTGGCCAGTATAGTTGAACCAGAGTTTGACTCCCTGATTGAACCCAAACGTATCTTTGACTTAGCCAGTTGTCTGATGTACATTTTGTATCTTCAGGTGCAACACAATTTCGGCATTTAAAAGGTTCACAAGATATTTACCTTCATGGGAAGCAGGCAGGTAGAAAAAAAAACGTTTCAAATGTATTTCAATACTGAAGTGACAGGAAACTTTGACTTGAGATAAATATAAATTTAAGTCTTTATAATATTTGTTGTTTATATATTTTATGATTAATGTTTGAAAGAAACAAAGATGCTTAAATCTTTACCACTGATACTTTTCCCTAACAATAGAAAGTTGGTTTGTGGACTGTAGCTTTGTTCTTTTATCATGTGTAAACATTTCAAAGCTGCTCATTTTTTTGTTTGGTATAGTTTTTTTTTGAGAATGACATGAAAAAGAAAAAGAGAAGGCAGATTTTTAAAGAATTCACTGTTATGCCTAGATGATTAGATGTTGTTGCCTACGTGCACTATATTTGTGGATGAGCTAGAGCTTCAGAGCTGCCTGAAAGAGGTTACATGAGTTTTAGCAAACATCCAGGCCTTTTGGCTTGTTTTTCCATTCTGATAGACTTAGCAGAATGCAAACTTCACTATATTGTGAAATGTCTGGCCACTTTAATTGCAAATTTATCTGGCTGAATGTAACAGGGATCAGAGCAAAGAAAATTCATGTTTCAGAAAAATGTAGTGATGTGGCTAACTTTTATAATCATTCCCATGCTCAGTGCAACTGTATCTGATAGCATCTACCATAAGCTTCTTTTAGAAGTTTTATCTTCTGCTCATTGATCTATTTCTGTGAGATATTTCAGTGCTACAGATGTTGTGTTTATGGTATGGCTCAGTCAACAGTCTTTGTTTTTAATGTCAGAATTTCTGTAGGGATCCTTCAAGGCTCCCTGCTTTATCCGCTTTCTGCTCCTGTAACCTACTACAGAATCTTTTTTAGAAGTCTGAAGATACTTTCGTTACCCTTGATAGCAAAAACTCCGCTTTCCCAGCCTGCACTTTGTTCCATCTGCTGTAGCCTGTATTTATGTTTGTGTTTGGCATCTTCAGGAGATGTGGAACTGAAAGAGCCCTTCTGATTTAGCAAATCCAGCTCTCTGTTGCCTTGGGCTGTCACATCACAGGAGGCAATTGTCAACTAAAATCCAAGGTAGTTAAAGTGGCACTTTTGATTTTCTTGTTCCTCCACACCTCAAACCATTTTTAACAGCTTGGGCACTATTATCTTCCTGCTTGTCTTATAGTCTTAATGTCACTTTTGGCTTGGCTTTCATCCAAGCAGTAAACACATTTTGATGCTGCTTTGTCTATAGCAACAAAGTTTTGATCTTTTTTCACTTAAATTCTCACCATGTCTTTACACATTTTGATATAATCAGTTTTTGCCTGCCATGCCTTTAATTGCTGCAGTATAACCACAACGGATCAGTCAGATGTTTTGCTCCCAGAATAAAATGATTTTCCCCTTTTCACTTGACCATCTGTGCAGTGCCTTTTCTCTTGGCTTTTCAAGATCTACAGTGCATATTCTTTGTTGTCTCAATCCTGATATTTAGAATGAGTTAGACAGTTAGACCACCACTTAGGTCCATCAGCATTTCTAGTGCTTACTGCTATCCTTTTCTTCTTAGGCAAAACTGTCTGAAAAACCCGTACATAGCAATTATTCCATCTCATGTCACTTCTCACAGTTGTTCTCTGCTGTGAAGCCTAGAAGAAACTTCTAGTGACTGTTGTGGTCAGTTAAATTCTATTTTCTTCCTTCTGCTCCTGATTCTTTAGTTGCTTCACTGCATTTTCTTCTCAATTTGTTTCTATCTCCAGTTGGGAAAAAAAAACAAAACATTGAACTGCAAAGCTGCTTTGTTTATTATCATGTTTTTGGCTTCATCTTTGTCCAGTTTTACAGCAGTTTACAAAGTATGCTAATTTATTCCAACCATAAATGTTATGGGGCATTATTGTTATCATATTGATTGTGTGTTCATACATTGCTTTACAGCAGACGCGTTGTACACATGATCTTGCATTTGAAGAAATTATTTTTGCCACTAGTTTGTCACTGTGTTAATTGTCCAAATTTATTTTAATTCCATACAAACAGGCTGATTTCTTGTAGCACGCGTCTGGCCATAGTTTCTATCCCACGGTTGTGGAAGGCTCTTATTTAAGAAGTCAGTGCCATAGCATGCCTACTTTCTTTCACCTGCTTTGGGTTCTATATTACCTTTGCTTTGTGGCATTACTCATACCTTTATAGCCTCTGTGTAAGCAGTAAGCATGGTATGAGTAATTAATCTAAAGCCAGAACTAGGTTTATGTTTTCATGTCCTGATAAGGTTTTGGCAAATAGCTAAGTTTCAGAGGGTGTCCATTTATATACCTTCTTAGACCAATATGATATCTCTGGGAATTTCTTTCTTCTGTGATTTCTCCTCTAGCTGTAACTTGTGCTTACGTTCCTCAAATGTAAAGGTGTTTTTTTTCCCCCTTCCCCCTCAATCCCTTCCCCGCTTCTCTCCTCTACCTTTTCCTGACACCCCCACACATGTCTCCCCTCCACCCCGCCTTTTTAAATTTTTGAACAGGGCACTTGTGTAACCTGTTTCCTATTACAGATTCTTTTCCTGTGCTGTGAATAGTTCCTTGCTTTCTACAGTCGAGACGTCTGCAGGATAGAAGTTTTCATGGAATGATAAGTTGTTTAGAAATTTTTCACAATGAGGGTGAAAACAGGTGAAAAACTGGCACAGGTTGCCCAGAGATGGGTAGATGACCCATCCCTGGAAACATTAAGGGTCAGGTGGGACAGGGCTCTGAGCAACCTGATCTAGTTGCAGATGTCCCTGCTCGTTGTAGAGAGGTTGGGCTAGATGACCTCTAAAGGTGCCTTCCAACCCAATTTTTCTATGATTTTATGATTTGTATTTTACCTAAGTTAGCTGCAGCTCACATAAGGAATAAAGCCCATGCATAGTTAGTATTTCTTTGATTTGTCTCCTTATTTGGTTGCTGTCAGATTGAAGAAACTATCGCCAAGGGTGAGAAGTCAGTCTCCCAGTAGGCAGCTGGGCGTTAAGGTATAGAAAGGAGTTTGTTCTCTGTCTTGGTTTGTTGGGGTTTTTTTCCCCCCCGAGATAGATAGTGGTCTACATGATGTGATTTTTTTTTTTTTTCTTTTTTCCACCTGTTTGATCACCACACTGTTCAAATAGAAAACTCTAGGGTTGTCAGGCTTGATTTAAATTGCATCTTAGAATGAGAAACATTCCTTCATCTTATCTGTCATCTGAAACTGCTCAGCCATTCTTGCTGTTTTCATTGTTTTTCAGTTGTTTAATTCTTTGTTTTAGGAGGTCTCTGCTGATCCCACAGGAACTCTCACAGCTTCTGAAGAGAGAAAGGAGAAGGTGCCAAGCCCACACCTCAGTCATCTTGTAGTTTTGACATCTGGCAGTTCGCTGTATGGTTTGGCAGAGAGAGTGGTGGCCACGGAATCCTTGTAGGTTATTTATTGTATACTGCATTTTGTGGTCACTGGAAGCTATAGAATGTTGAAGAGATTGTGATTACAAGCCAAAATGTTCTTGAGAGGTCAAAAATTCCTACTTCTGAATGTGATTTTAAATATAACTGGTAGAGGTAATTTCTTAACTAAAGGCAGTGGGACCTAACCGTCTGGTCTCACTACCTGCAAGCACATGCACTGAAATTTTACTGCAGCTGGTCCAGTAATTTGTGATGGTACAGAGCCAAATCTTAACAGGAACAATGTTTAATTTTAAAGAGGCTAATGGGAGTATTTAATCTGTATGGTTCATTTAAGCCTTATATTAAGTACTCAAATGCTGATGGTGAGGCTCAAAACTGCTTAGTTCATGTTGCTTTGGCTTGGGTTGCAGTGTTCTTTGCAATGAGTGGAAGTTTCCCTGTGAAGAAGAGATCATATGAGCAAATAACACCAAACTCGTACAAAGTGATCAGAATAATACTAAGAGTCAGATGGGAACTTTTTTTTCCACCACACAAGATGATGCTTAAAAATTAGAAGTTAATTTTTAAAATGTATTTTCAAAGGAGCTTATTTTCTTTTGTATTCATTTATACTTAGTTAGAAATGTATTTCTTTCTTATGTTGAGAAAGAATCTGATCTCATATTCTGTCTTTTAAAGATTCACTACTATGTAAGGAATTAGGAATGTTATTTTGAAATTCTGACATGGATTTCAGACTGGCAGAATTCTGACTGCCCTGCAGTATGGAAATTATGGGACACTTGTCAGCTGACTTTACTAGACTTTGGATCAGACTTTTACAGTATATCCTGAGTAAAATAGAAATATGATTGTTGATATTCAAGCCTTAGTCTCTCTATTCCAGCCTTTTCTTGTTTGCAATCATATTTTAAAATTGTCAGAATTGAGAATACTTGTTGATATTCTGGCATGAAACTGGTATGGTTCTTCTCAGGTTTAAATTTTCCAAGGTTACATTAACATTATTGCTAAATATGTCAGCTGTAGTGTAAAAGTTGTACAGAGACATGCCAAACATTGCATTTAGTTCATGGAAAACTTTCCTTGCTTTCAAAGGGTATTTCTGGCTGAACAGTTTGAGTTTCTTCAGCCTCATCTTGATGCAGTGATGCCACCTGCCAAGAAGCCTTTTCTCCAGCAGTTCTATTCTCAGGTCAGAATTGTGTAGTTCACAGCTGATTTTTAAACGGAAGATTTGAAACTTGTACAATATGTTGCATATACTTGTATATCGTAGCTATATATATTGCTCTTATTAGTCAGAAATTTACTGAATTGAATTTTATTTATATTCTGTTTCAGACAGTGTCAACTGCCAGTGAACTACGTAAACCAGTTTATTGGATTGTAGCTGCTAAGGCCATTGACTATGAACAAATGCTGCTTCTCATGGCTAATGTGAAATGGGATGTGAAGGAAATCATGTCACAACACAATATATATGTAGATGCTCTTTTAAAGGTGAATACTTTCTGGGAAATGGTGTGCTAGAGTTTTATACAATAATTAAATTACTGTAATACTTCACTAAAACTGTTAAAGTAGCATGATTAGAGCAATGCAGCATCCTGACAAATGGTAAGTTATTATGAAGAAGTCTGTCCAGAATTTTCATTGTTCTTGCTGCTAGCAGATTATTTTCAGTGCTGATTTTTTAACTACATTGTGGGTGAAAGTGACCACAAAAGTTTAATGAGTTTCATGTCTAAGTCTTGAGTGGTAGGTAAATGTGTAGTAAACAGAGTAACACTGAAGAAAATCCAGTGGCCTGAGATTGTGGGGTCTTTAACAGTGACTATTTGCTGTTCTGCATAATTTTATCGGTTGTGTTTGAGATGTATCATAGAGGTTATAGGTCAAACCAACACTGATAACGATCATGCACTATCAGAAGTTGCTATATTTAGGAATTCGCATTTGAGAAGGAAGGTAGGAGGGAAGTTATTCACCCAACTTCTTAATTGCTTTCAGTAGAAGTGGTTATACAGTTGCTGTGTCTTATGGCATACAGAACCAGTTCTTGGGAGAATTCCTCTCTCATACTTTTAGATGTGCCTAAATGTTGTTTCTGAAAGTCTTTAGAAGAACGTTCTGGCAGTGGTAGAGTTATACTAATTCTTACAGAGAAACTGAAAATTTTATTTTAAAGATACCTGGAGTATGTCTCAGAGAAAAAGTTATGCATCTATGTTGAATAACAGTTTTGATTACACCTTTATAGCTGTTCTCTGCTTAAAAAAAAAAAATCAAGGCAGAGAAGGGAAAATCTGATAGAGGATGTATCATTGCACTGAATTTGACTGAATCTTTGTGATTACCCTCCTTTATGCTGCCACAGGTTTTTGAAACCAGTTTGTACTTAACAATATTTGGTCTCTGCTGTAGAACTTTTTCCTTTTGTGAGTGTGCAACTGCTGATGAATTTGCTTCAGGACAATCAAAGCTAATACCATTTAAAACCATTTCTGGTCTTCATATTATATAGCTACAGAAGCTTTTAGATTACTGCTAAGCAATTAGTGATTTGCTGTGTAACCAGGGACTCTGGGAGTGTCAGATGTAAGCACAATGTTTAGTGTAATAGCCAACTACTTTTAGCCATGTGCACACACATGCAAAATTCTATACTCAAGTCATAGTATGTGTGGAAGCAGATAAATTGGAGAAAGAGGATTGTTCACGAAATTCATTAACACAGAATGTTAGGCATCATCAGAAGAGTTGTATGCTGATTAAAGCATGACATTGTGGTACACTGCTTCCTCTTCCCAAATTCACTTTTCAGAAAACTTGTGATAAACACCATTATTTGGTCAGATACTAGGTTAAGTCGATTACTGAGATTCCCTGCTGATTTTCTTCACTTACTGAATTTTTGACGGGGGGAGAAAAAAAGGGAAAAAAATAAACCCAACCTAGGTTAACGGCCTTGGAGCACTGCATACAGAACTCTCGTGAAAGAGTAAGTAGATCATGAAGGTCTTGCTTTTAGTTAAGTATTTCTATAATGTCTATTTTATGAAATTAAAAGTTCTAATTTTGTAGTGCACGGGTGATGTGCTGTCTTCCACTTCGTTGGACAAGGATGGTCTTAATAGGTTGCAGTACAAACTGCTTTTGCTGGTTACACAGAGCAGTTCATTATCAGTCTGCTTTATATTTAAGTCATTTGATACTTTTTAAAAATTATAGAGGCATTAGTCACTGGCAGCAGACTTCCATTTCACCTTTTGTAGGTCACAGAATCATTGTAGCAGTAATCACATTTAGTTATGACTAGTTTATCACTCATAGTAACAGCTCAAATCCATCCAGGCCATTGATGTTTTGGGTGGAAACAGATGCCCTCCCTCAACCCAAATTGTTTCAAGTGTTGCAGTATGCTCCTAAATGTTAGATTTGAACTCCTTTCAGTGGTTGCTCTCAGCTCCTTTTAAAGCACTGGGGAACTATCTAATGCGACAGGCTGATCGGGTGGGTATTTAGAGGGGTAAAGAGATCATCACTGGATTATCTTCAGTGGCTGTATATTGACTTTTAAAAAGTTAAATATGCGTTTAGGGAGTGAGGCAATGAAAACGGCATTTGGAGGAATAACTAGTTAATATTCAGAGGTGTGAGTTTCACAGAGAAACACCTCTGGGGAATGGAGCAGTATTTCCTTTTTTAAAAAAATTACTGGGGTAAAGTTGTGAATGATATACTAGAAAGTGGCATGTTTTTCTACTTTACACATTAAGCTTGTCTCTACAGTCTGCCTATTAAGCTTCTCTGCTTTGCTCTTATTTTTCTGTATTCGCTTTCATGTGCATTTCTAATTCATTGTTATTACTAGGGATGTATAGAGTATGATCCCTTTTATGCTAAAGGAATAATGATCTTTCATGTTTCATCAGGAATTTGAACAATTTAACAGAAGGTTGAATGAGGTGTCTAAGAGAGTCCGTATTCCACTGCCAGTCTCCAACATCCTTTGGGAGCACTGCATACGCTTGGCCAATAGAACTCTTGTGGAAGGGTAAGTAGTTCATGAAAGTTTTGCTTTTAGGTAAATATGTCTATAATAATAATGTCTATTTTATTAAATCAAAAGTTCTCATTTTGTAATGCACTGCTAAGCCCCTGCACTTTTGGGGAGCCTAAAAATATCAAGGCTTAACGTAGTCCTTAGCAGTTGTTTCACAAAGTATGGTATAGCTTTAAGCCTAAAGGGCTTGTACCAAGATATTGCTGAAGACTGACATTGTCTGAGTGTTTTGTTGAAACATTTGAAACAACGTAGTTCTCTTTCAAAGAAACTTCTATCTGAAAATTATCATTTTCCTGACAGAGCAGAGAAGAAAGATGAAGTGTGATTGTCAGCATCTCTGTGGTGATGCCATTTGTCTTAGCCAGGAAGAAAGATGGAGTTGTCAACCCTAGCAGTTATCTTAGAGTAGCCATGGAGCAGGATTTTTCCAAATTCATCAGGAACAGAGAGGTGTCTTAGTTGGCTTGGTAAATAGATGCTCAAGCACCTTAGTCAGGAACTGCTACACCTTGATCATCCCTCCCTCTTAATCAGTGTCCCAGTCTTTTCAGAGTCAATATTGTAGCCTGAGTATGGTAGTCTTTTCATCTACTGCATTTATTTTTGTGTTCTTGTCCCCTTGCTACATATGTCACGCCGCCTTCTGCATCAGAGAATATGTGCTGCCTTCCATTCTTCCATTCCTTCTTTCTACATACATTTCCATATTTCTTTCCTGGTTATCTTTACCCTATGCACTCCCTACTACCTACTTTACTTCTTTCTATCCCACTCTCCTGCTGTCTGCTCTAATTTAGGACCTCAACAACATCCTTCTTTTCCAAGTGTTAGCTGTCCATTAAGGAACATCAGCTTCCACCAAGCCATCATTTTTAAACACATGCCCCTTTCTTTTCATCTTATCATTTTGCAGTCTCTTGAGAGATCAGTTTCATCATCAGAGAGACTAAATCCAGCCACGACCTACCTCTGGCTTCTCAATTCCTTCAAATGACATATGACCTATACAACTGTCTTTTCATTTTGAAATTTTATTTTCCACTTATCATGCCTCAAATCAAAAGAAGTGGAAGAAAAGCATCTGTCTTCTCCTCCCCTCCATCCCCCTTTCCTTTCAAGTGGATAACACCATCAGTCGATACCAAACTCCTCCACCTCAGCCCTTGTGCCTGTTTTGGCTTGTTTCTTTCCCTTACTTCACAATCTTATTCATCTTTTGTGACTTCAGTGTTCACGATCCACTTAATTCTTAGCTGTGAAGATCATCACTCATATGTCTTGTTCCATGCTGCAGTTTTTGGTTTGCACTTATGACTTACCATGACAATTTCACCTTTACTTTCACCTATGCATTTCACTGACTGGTGAAAGTAGACTGGGAATACCTTGCTGATACGATTTGTCCTGTGCTCTTTCTTAGAGTGTAAAAAGTACTTATTATTATCTCCTCCAAAATATCTGGCTGTAATTTCTTTTTCTTGCCCAGTTCATTTTTTTTCTCACATATATTGTTTCTTTTGCCACTGAGGAAAGGGAAGGAAGGTATTCTGAACAGCTGACTCTCTGGGTACCTTCATAACTTTTTTCATCTCTTGAGTTCTGTGAAGGTATGGAATTAAAAGCCATGAAGGAGGTGTTTCTCCTCCACTCAGCCAGTTAACTGAAATTGCTCTAATCAGGCTCTTTTGAGTGAACAATCACCTCTAGTACAGTCAGACATATCCTTCTTTAAGTTTTGCCCTATCCTATCTCCTAATTCTGTGTTGTCTCCTGTTTCCCATCTGGTTTCTTGAAGTGCTTCAGTATGTCCTGTTGAGAATCATCGTCCAATTTTCTTCAGAGCTCCAGAGGGCTTGTGCCTTGGTCCCCTTCTCTTTTTGACTCTGTTATTTCTGCATTCTGTAAATTCTTTCTGCTTACTAAGCGTAAGCATGCAATTTCTTCTTATTATTAACCTGATTTTGCTGTGTATCCAGTTTCCAGCTACATATTTCTGCTGCCTCCTTTGCATCAGACCTAATAATTTGGGGACTGTATAATGATAAGGATCAACTTCATGAACCAATGGAAGACTGAGCTTACTTTAAATTTGGTACAAAGGAAGAGTGGAAGTAGTGGGACAGGATTGTCACTTGTGGCAGCAACTTGTGGGTGGGCTGGATTAAGTCTATCAAGACATTGTGCCCCAGACCAAAGCTTTTTTTATTCCCTGTACACAGCTGGAATTGGCACTGTTAAGGGCATTGTGATGTCATTTCCTTTGGTCTCGACAAATGCAATTTCTTATGCATTTGAAAAACTGCAAAGATTGTTTTCCTCGTTTGTTGCCTCTCACCCCACTGTCATCCTTCCTGGTATTCCCCTGCCCTCAGTCTCTTCTTCTTTGAACTCAAACCTGTCACCATTTTTCTGTCAATCTACTGTCATTAAAACATTAACTTCTCACAGAGATTAGCCAGAGCTGCCACTCTTTATCCTCTGGTTATTGTGTGTGGTTTTGAATAAATAGCTTTGTGCCTTTCTCTGCTGCTGCTACCACTGGTTCAGCAAGCTCCTGGTGACCATTCCTAAAGCTGCCACATTACCTTTCAGACTTCAGTGGTCACGATCACTTGACTAAAGCCACCTTCTAGTGCGTTGATCAGCATTGATTTAATTTCCTTTACCCCACTTCTAGTAAGTTGTTCAATGTAGGAGTTTTGGTGGCTTTGGGGGAAGAGGGAGGTGCTTTTTTTAAGTAGCTCTGGGTACAATGGGGTTCTGTTCTGTGAGTGGGGCTAAAATGTATTATACTAATGTAAATAAAACTCCGCATCAAACATCCTAAGAGGAGTTCTTGTCTGCTTTTAACTTAAAACCCTAATTATGTTCCCTTTCAAGGTTTGAAGGACTAAGTTAAACAACTTTGAGAAGTAAGATTCATTTTTATTTCCTTCTAGTTTTTACTTTCCACTGTGTTTCTCTTTTCAGTTATGCCAATGTAAAGAAGTGCAGCAATGAAGGACGTGCCTTGATGCAACTGGACTTTCAACAATTCTTAATGAAACTAGAAAAGTTAACAGACATTAGGCCTATACCAGATAAAGAATTTGTAGAGACCTACATTAAAGCATACTACCTAACAGAAAATGACATGGAACACTGGATAAAAGAACATAGGGTAAGAGTTAAATTTTCATTCTTTTATTGCGTATCGGGAAAATTCACCATAGTGATAGAATTACGCTAACAACTCTAAATGATCAGTGCTTCTATGTGTTAAAAATTAATATACGCATATATATATTCATTTATTATAATAAAATCTGTACAGGAAGCAGTATAAATATAAATGTGTATGTGGCATACGCATGTGTATATTAATTATATTTATTGTCTTATGAAGTTAGTGTGTGTTTGTACTAATTAAACATCTGATGAGTGGGAAGGGTAAATAAGCCAGTCGCATCTACCTACCGTATCAAAAAATGTAGAGAACTAGAGCGAAATCAAGTTGAAAATATTTGTATGCTGTTCAAAATATGCCAAAGTGCACAACTTGATTGTCAGGAAGTACAGTTTGAAATCACACCATTAAATTTTACTTTGCCTTTGAGAGTAGATTGCTTAAACTAAGTTGTAAGGTGCAATGGATAAGAGTCATTGCTTTTTCTTCAGCAGTGCTCTCTGAGGTAAAGCTTTATTTGTGTTTTGAAAGCATTTAGCATGCTTTCATGGTAGCATAAGCTAACAATTATAACAGGACTGTGTAAGTAATAGTCACATGCTATTGGAACTGCCCATTGATAAAGTCTTTTAAAATGGAGCATTTTGAAATCTGTATTTTGGGATTACTTTAAATCCCACTAGAAATGGGTGAAAGAAATAAATCTCTAATATAATTTTCCGTGTTACACCTGGAGCCACAAGAGGGATTGTGAGCTGTTGTTTGGTGACCTATATGGAAAAACTCTTGTTTAAACGTACTGGTGGAAGCTGTATTTTGGATAGCGTTAAGTATAAAGGTAGTACTGGCAAAATGTAGTGTTTTGACAGATGTTAGAATTCTTGTCCTAACATTTTTGCCGTTTTTTCCTCCTTTATCATGTACTGAAACTAACATTGTCTGGAGACCCTGTAGACAGAAGTATTTATAAGCCCATTGAAAATGAAAAGTCAAAATAAAAAAGATCCACTTTTGTCACAGTTTGTTTAGAAAAATGTTTTTGTGTTAAAAGCTTATCCCATTTGCATATATATTTCCCACCACACCTCCCAAAGAATGGAAAATACATTAAAAATTGATTTAGATACATATGTATTCACAGAATTGCTTTCTGTGAACTCAGTCCAGCACTACTAAAGTCCTAAGCATTTTCCATTATTATTTGCCATGTAGCAAAATATGGTTTTGTCCTCTGCCGCAGCTATGAAAACTATCCAGACCTGACTTAACTACCACTTTAAATCTCTGTTGTGAACTGATTGCTTCTATCAGTTGACAAGTCCACAGTGTGTATGTCTGTGTGTTTTAACTTTCTATCTTTGGTGTTCTATTCTACCATAACATGATCTGCTTTTATTTGCCAGGAATATTCCACTAAGCAGTTGACCAATCTGGTGAATGTTTGTCTGGGCTCCCACATCAACAAAAAGGCAAGACAGAAGCTGCTAGCTGCTATTGATGACATAGAAAGGCCTAAAAGATAACTGGAGAAAGATACTTTTCTTGTGACTTGTACCTTTTTCTGTTCATGTGAAGCATGCAGACAAATCTCTCATGGACTAATGACACATTCTCTTAAAAAACATTGTGCATGACCTTTCTTACCAGCATCAGAGACACTCTGAAGCGGCATCATGTTCTAAAATATGACTTTTCTATCTGTAGAATTCTTTTCTGTTGTATTTCTTTGTTGTTGTTGTTGTTGTTACTTGCCCTTAGTAAAGGGCCGCTGTATATCATTGGTGAGCTGTATATTTTGCAAAACTGTAAGTAAAATCAAAATCAGAGAAAAACACATTGGCTTAACATATAGTTGATGCTCTTTTTTAATAAAAGGGCTACTTGAAGACATGTTTTCTTTCCTCCCTGCTTTCATCCTCAGAATTTGTGCTTTATTATGGACCCGTGTAAAATGAAAGGAAATGTACAATATTTGATCAATGTATGTGGATGCATGTGGATTAAGAGTGCAGATCAACTAAATACTCCTATGTTAAAGCCTCTCATCTTCATATGTATTTAAAAATGTCTGTTTGTTTCAGAATTAATTTAGTCATATCAAAATGATTGACTTCAGATTAATAGAAGGTAATAAATACTGTACACTAATATGATTTCTGTGAGACTTTATTTTTCCAATTCAACAATGCAAAATATCATTTACAATAGAAAATAGCACTGTTCCTTTCATATCACTTCCCTTTTGTCCCTCTGCCAGTTTTCCCTGTTCTGAAGCAATAATGCCGGGGAATAGGAATAATGGGGGTTTTTTTGGCTGAAGGTTTGGATTGATACTGAGATAATCTTACTATTTCCTGCTCTGCTGTAGACAGCCTGAGTGACTCTGAGCAAAGCAGAATTGCTTGGCTGCATATTTGTCCTGGAAATTGATTTGTCAGAATATCACTGGCTCCACTGAAGTTTTCAGGTTTGCCTTTGGTTTTCAGTATGTAAACTTTCAGATTTTTTTTTTTATATTGCATAATAAACTTTTTTGCAGTGCCGTCAGACCTTTTAAAAGGAAACATGCTACCATTGAACTAATAGGTAAAATAATTTACATAAACTACAATCCACTAATGTATACAGCATGGTAGATTCTCAGTTTCAGGTTCATACTTGCTATTGTACTTTTAATTCGAACATGGAAGAATCAGGTTTTACTGAAAGACAGCAGTACCTAGTGACAAAAAATTGCCCCATTGAATCTTTATAACTGTTGTTTTCTGTAGCTTAATTTCCACTTCAGAAGCAGACTGAGCATCATGTGAGTTTAGTGAAAGCCTGTATAGAGTTTTAGAAGATTGATAGAATTTACATTTTAAATGTTGACTGTAAAGTATTCAGCTCCCTTGTTCATCTATATTTTAAAGGAAATAAGATTTAAACCAAATTTTAACTCCATTTTTTATTGACCATGTCATCATGCTGTGTTCCATTTAAAAATTGTTTAGCAGCATGTCACTGTATATGTTGAAGCTGAATCACTTTTACCCTCATTAAAAAGGTGGTTCAAAAAAAGAGAAGTGTAGTTCATTTTGAAGGTGTGGACTTTTGCGTCAGTGTATCTGCCCTGAAGTCAGATCCTGAACAAGAACTCTTGGAAGAAATAGAAACGTGTCAGAGACAATTAGTGTAAAAATCTGTTTCAGTTTTCTTCTCATGGATGAAATAAGAAATGTAAATATCTTTACCAGAGCTTTGGTGAGCTGAACACATGGTTAATTTCTCCTGAACTATTTATGTTGCTGTAATTGTATTGCATTACAAAAGGTAGGAGTATAAGCACTGATTGGAATGTAGAGTCAAGGAAGGAGGTGAGCAATTGCATGAATCAGCCGGGAGTAATTTTTTGTAGTGCATCAATTGTTTGACTTTGGAGTAAGGCTCCAAATTAGAGAATGTGCAAGATGCAATGTTAAACCTGTGCAACAACTGTTTGATCTTCATTCATCTATGTCTCAGAAATGATGATATTTTCCAGAGGAACCTCCCATCACTGCCCAGGATTGATGCTAAGGGAGAAGCTACACAGCTTAATGGCCTACATAGGCTCTTAGATACATGATTTAACTTTCAGGTTGCCCTGTGTGGAGTCAGGAGTTGGACTCTATGATCCTCATGAGTCCCTTCCAACTCAGGATATTCTACATTACTTGGTCCTGAATGACTAATGCAGCTGAGTTTTGGCTGAATGTTGAATTATTAACTTACTTATTATTATTACTTAAATTATTAACTTACTTTGTTTTTTTCCATCCTCTGGTATGAGAATTCTTTACAAACCATTGATTTTTTATTATCTCCGTACATCTTCATTCTTTTATGGAATAAGAAGCTCCTTGTACTGCTTTTTCTGCAATAGAAAATCCAGCTTAAATATCCTTTATGTTTTAGAGGAGTGTTTTGGAATACTCTAATAATAGAAGATGATTCCCTTCAGTCTCCAAGGAGAGTGACCAGCACTGCAGAGGTGGGCGATGCATCTGTCAGTCCTTCTTTAGCATAATGAAGAATTTAAATCCTTTTCCCCACCTAATCAGTACTCTGATACTTGCCAAACTCAGGTGGAGCATAGATGACCAATTTTCAAGTTCCTGGTTAGGCAAAGCCTCTTCCTGCCCTGATCAGCATCCAACCAGCTTTGCTACAGTCAGCTTCTCTCAATTGCATCTAATGGTGATACTGTTCTCCAAAGAAGCAGCTACTGGGACAAAAATGGGGGGAAGCCAACCAATCGGTTGCTGTGACCCTGGTGTAAGATTCAAGTCCATGCTTCACTGTAGGCTTAATTATTCAAAGCAGAATAGCATTGATGGGAAAGATCACCTTGGATCAGCAGTGCTGATGGCATAGTGCAAAGAGCAGCCCCCAGAGGTGAAAGTTCAAGTGCCTGGTCTGAGTAGGGGCTTGAATGCTCCATGATTTCGGATGAGTAGCTAGATTTCTAGGTCACTGGCTGTTTCTGGAGTCCCTTGTTCCGTGGGGGAGAGAGTCTTCCCAAGCTTGGCTTGCTTCTGATCTGCAACGGGAAAAACTAATCCTTGGCCAGAGCCGTTTAGCAAACCGTGAATGTGGGGTGTAGGTTACAGCTTGTGAATACTGCTGCAAGGACAGTCTTCCCTCTTTTGTCCCTGTCCCCGTAGGGAACAAAAAGGGATGAGCAATCAATGGCTGTCTCAAAGCTATCTGTGAAAGGTTTGCATCCCCTTTTAATTCTCACAGATGTGAATGACAGAGGCATGTCTTGTGATACTGAAGATGGAGCTTATTTAATGCAAAGCTGTGGGCATACATTGTGCTCTCGACTTGTCCTCCTGCCACGGAACACACAAAATTATAGATCCCCCTCTTCTTCCTGTGCAAGTGATATATATATCTCTCCCCTTTGAGACCTTGCTTATGGTTAATGCTTATGAAATTTCTGTATTGCAAGCTGTACTTTAGTAACTCAAACTCTGAATAAAGCCAGTGTTTAAAAAAAACCTACAACAACATCAAAACCAAAAGACCCCAAAAACCACAGACACAAACAACCCCTTTACCCAGATTAAATTGATAAATAGTGTTGTCTCTTATGAAAATTCTCAAAAGGCCAAATGTCAGCAGGCACCTGCTATATTATAAAGGATGCAAACAGAGAAGGACAAAAAAAATGCTGATTTATTGTGTGTGGGTGATGGTATCTATTTTATTTATAACCACTGCTTGAAACAGCATAGCGTAAAGACTAAACATTGCACCAGACACTAGGATTATGGTGCAAGTATGGAAATAACGCAGTATGCAAACAGCAAAGTTTCCGTGCTTGCTGGCTATTTAAGGGTATTTGTGAACGCGGTGTTTTTGAAGCACCAGAGCTGTTTTTTATCACAGCAGGGACTAGCTTTTTAAGGATCTGCTTTTCCATGAGGTCTTGGAGTGTGATGTGAAGCAGCATCTTTAAACTATACTAAAGACTTCACAAATCTGTGTTGTGGGTTTTTTTTTGTTTTGTTTTGTTTTTTAATTGGCATTAAATCAATAACATGCCTTATGATAAAGTACAAACCCGAGAAACTAATGCGGAGATGAGTAACCTCTTTTTTTGTGTGGTGGATTCATTGCTAAATTTTAATTTGGTGGAATATTCTGTCCAGTCCCAGAGGATTTACATGTATAAGCTGAACTAAAAACAGTTGGATGTGACCGAAACTTGAATCTAGTTGGCTGTCCTGTTAAAGAACGTCCCCCAGTACCTCTCAGCTCTGCCGGATTGGTCTGGAACTTTTGGTTTGGACATACGCGTAAAAGAAAAACAACTTTCAGAGTAGAGATGTGTAGATCCATGTGTTACATGTGTAAGTAGTTTGCATAGATTTCAATATTGTCAGATTTAAAACTGGCAAACAACTGTCTAAATGTGTATTGATCTTTGGAAAACAAAATATATAAAGAAACTGCAGATCTAGGAGAGGAGGTGCAGTGAAGTGCCTCTTTTCACTAAGTGCAAACTTAACATGATCAGATGTGCAAAAGGACTGCAGGCATTTCTGAGGATTTTTTAATAAGTAAATCCAAGGTTCGCACTTGTATGTATTTCCTGCCCTATATCTCTCAGAATTTTTATTCATAAGTACCACTATTCATAAATAAAAGGTCAACCCATTTACTGTATTTCAGTAAGGAATAAAATAGAAATGTCACCTCAGCCTTAAAATAAAATGGATCCTTGTACAGGAAGGATATTGTCAGGATTATACTGTCGCTGCTGTGTGAGAGCTGCCGGGATTTCATATAGAACATGCACCATAAAACTGTTCCTTTTGAAATTCATCCATATATTATAGTGTAAACACATACATGCACACGGAGCTTTGTGTGCAATATAATTTAGCACTGGGTTCTATGAAACAGAATGGCAAAATTCAACCGCAAGCAACGCATGATTGGTTTCTCTGCCATCACTTCCCTTGACCGCTGACGCTGAAGCGTGGGTGGGTGGTGCAGAGGAGCTTCCTTGTGTAAGTAACTGGTGTCCACTGAGGACAGGGTGATAATCTAGGTCTGAATTCAGAGCTTTGAGTACGTCTGAATTACCGTACTGCTCCCGCTGCCGCTGACTTTGTCTGCCACTGATGTGCGCCGTGTAGGAAGCATCGTGCAGGAGCCGGCTGAAGAGGAGCTCCAACCCAGCCCAAAATGCTGTAAGCATTGGGTTGGACACGGTTGGTGGAGCACGATGCTCCTGCCCTTAAGCAGAGATCGTGGCTAGCCACGCTTGCTGCCCGGGGGGATACCTGCTCCCAATGCACCACACTTGTGGGTTGGAGCATGGGCGGAATCGGGCTGTAAGGCAGCGGCATGTCCATGTGATGAACGTGCAGCTCGCTCCGGGACAGCTCGCTGTTCTCTTGAAACCTGAAATCTCAAGAAATGTGGGGATTGTCATGGCCCGATGCAGTTGTTAGCACAGTACTAAGCCTCCGTGAGTTTTCAGGACTGTTTATTTCTTGAAGTCTAGGAGAACGTCACCGATGGAAATGAGTTTGACCAGGGGCTGCTTCCTGCCCCTGGGCTGCCAGCATCTGCCTCCTCCAGAGCAGCCAGAACACTTAAGCAGCCAAATGCTCCAACCAGCTGCGTGTTCGTGGGCCGTTTATCATGTCCCACATTTCAACTAGACCAAGTTGTTGCCGTGAATAGCAATGCCTCACAGCTGCGATACCGTTAGCCCTTCCTTCCCCGCTCGCGCACACAGCCCAGCGTTGTGCTGGTGTCTCTGCTGTTGGACAGGGCAGTTCTTCTCAGAGTTTGCTGAGCCTTTATGCTGAGGTCTGTTTATTTTTAGATGATTTTGAGGTGTTTACTGTGGCTTTCTCTTTGCTCAAACTCTCTGCGGTAACAGCGCTTGCTGTTCATGGCTGCTCTGGCCGGGGGGAAGGAGCTCCCCACGGG